ATGAGGCGACGTGCCTGGTTCACAAGAAAGTCTAGCCAGCAGCTCCTCTATCTTCTCATCGATCTGCTCACATGCCTCAGTCTCAGTCGCCTCGCCCTTCTGATTACACGAAAAACCTTTGTGCTACAATGAAACAGCCTATAGATAGGACAAAAGATAAAGGCTGGTTCACCACAGTGCTCAGCAGCTTATGACATATTCAGTATGAGGCCTTCAGTAACAATGACCGAAAAAAATACACCAGGGATGACTACCAAGTAAGCCAAGGAATCAAGTCTACCAAGTGGTAATGACTGAGCAACTTTTCAAACATTCCCTAAGAACAAAAGGACTACTCCCAGGGCTGACATTCAGCTACCTAGCCAGCTAAAAATATGACAATTCAAAGTGTTATTTTTATGAGCTGTATTTTTTTAACTATTACAGCTACTTGACCCAACTATAGTTCATTGGACAGCTCAGACAGAGTACTGTCATTGTATGGTCAAATTTAACTGTTCCATAACTCTAAGTTTCTTTTCTCAAGGACAAAGTTCATCTCATGAACTGCATTTTTAAAACTACATTCAGTTATTAAAAAACAATGACTGGAGAAACAGGTCAGTTTTCTATGAAAAACCTTGACCTGTTACTTGATCCCCTCCATGAGATAAACATTTTACGAATTTAGCAGAGGCTTTTGTCCAAAGCAATGCACAAGTGAGGCAAATAGCACATTGGTCAAGGAGTCAACTAGGCACAAGTACAGGGAGGCTGAGCTTCCAATAAAGGACCAGGTACAAATATAACCGTTATTGGAGCAGGAGCTGCACAGCAACTTTTAGCAAAGCAAGAACCTAATGAAATTAATCAAGGACCAGAAGTACAACATAACAGCATCACAAAGATGTTTCTAACACCAAACATCAGTGGGACAGTTTCCTTAGGGTGCATCCGCTCTGATCAAATCACCATCTCCCCAACTCCCAAACTGACTCTGCACCCTCTTTCCTAGCTCTCCACTGCTGTCAGTGGCCAATTCTCAGCAAGCCTGTCCGCCAAGTCTCGTGCGAGTTGGAGGCGTGTCCAGCAATGCATCATATCCTATGATGGCGAATTGCACTGCATCGCAATAGGGGTGAATCGTATCTTATCACAATAGTAGTTGCTTCGTATGTATATTTAATGTATTGTATCATTGGCAATGCATCGAGATGTGACTCGCATCACTTCAGAGATGGAGATGCACATCCCTAACACAATCATATGGCCAACTTTTGGGAAAAAAAAATGTAGCCTGTGGGTCATGTTTGGATTGGGGGCTGGTAGTGACAGCCATTTTTCTGTCCTGTGGTTCCCTCCCTCTTTTGCTTGGGCGCAGTTATGCAGTCCTGCTCTGCCGGTGTTGTTAATTGGGGATTAGGACGGGCATTGATTGGGCCACCTATATATCATGTAGTTTGGAACACGAAGGTATGTGGGGTCCTCGCGGCAGCAGGGTATCTGATGCAGTTTGTGGTGTAGCAGCGTTTGGGCTGTCTCTGCTTTCAGGTTTACATGGCTGTGCTGCATTGCTAGTTGCTGTTCTCTACAGTGTGAATGTGGTGCTGCTCATAGCTTATTTATATGTATTTTGTTTTCCTCTAACCTGTGCGCTATAGCGTAAGTGTAATGGACACTATGTGAAATTGCTCTGAATGCCACAGGCTAGAGTGGGTTTATTTTTATTTGTATATTTTTCTTTTATCCTTGTCAACTTCTCAGCCTCCTTCCTGTATCTTTAATTAACCTGGGCGTTGGTTGTACAGGGTAGCTTAATGCGTTTAAGGGAGATCACACTGGAAAGCTGGGTTCTCTAGTCTTTCTTTGTGTTAACGTTTGCAGTGCCACATAGTGTGAGGCTCTGTTGTCCTTACCACCTAAGGTACCTGAGTATGGTGAGGGTGGCAGGGTGTTGGATTGAAGTGTACACTAGGATAAGTGTGTTTGCACAGTCACGTACGTGTGGCATAGAATTCCCAGCCTCCCTCCAGGGTGTCCACCCTCCCTGGGTTCAATAGGCCTCTGCCCCAATGTCTTAGTGATTTTGTGTTTGCTTACTGTCTTTTCCCCACTATTAAGGTAGTGACCTACTTAACTGGTGCCCAATCCAGCTACATGAGTGTTTATTAAAGATTGTATTTTTATATTTTTGTAAAACCTGTGTCTGTATTTATTTAAGCGTTGGTCCCCTTGCTCTGGCACTTTTTTAGTCAGTGAATTGCAAGGGGTGGCGTAGTCCGATACATTTAGGGGTGCCACAAAAAGTACTTGTGAAAAAGACAATTCAGTTACATAAAACGCCAATTTTTACTAAGCGAATTTGTTTAACAAAGTGTTTTATCTAAAAAGCTTATTTGTTTAAAAAATTTGATAAGGTAATTAACTCGTGCTTTTTACTACCAGCTTCACAACCAGCAGCTTAAACCCCAGAAATAAGAATCACTTCAGTGTTGAATCATGTGATGAATCAAGTGACACTAACATTGGGAGAGACTCTCAACCCACAACATATATGATGCTGTCCACAAGAAACAAAATTCCAGTCATTCTGTTGCAGCTTTAGGTTGATGTTTGATGTTTCCAAACATTTTCCTTCACAACTGAAAAGATTTGACACAGAGCTTATACATAAGGGTATCACTTATAAAGAAATAATTTATGGAACATTTATAGAGAATTTAAAGAGAATTCAAAGTCATTTTGTGATATCTAGTTCAGGCCTGTTTACTAAAGTCATTAGGGATTTTCATCATGGGGTCTGTGAAGGGCTGAGGTCCGAAAAGAGGCTGCAGATGCATTTTGTAAATTGACAAAATGTCAGCATTTGTACCACAAAATTGTACCAGGTAGGGCTTCCTTTTGTTTTCAAAACTAGGTCTACTTCAAGGGTTAACAAGTTTTAAGATTTCCCTCCACACACCGCTGTACTGAAGGGGTCTGACGTTCTCCTCCGATGTCTATCTCTGTAACAGAACTGCCACTGTATGTTTTTTTGTTTATCAGACTACCATCTGTAGTCTCTAGACACTGTAGTGTGTCAAAATCCCAGCAGGGGTGGCTGTTAGATGCTGAAACGACCATGTGTGACACAGACAATCAAGACACACTTACACTGTTTACATCATGCGGCTTAGCCATTGTAATCCTCAGTGAAAGAGTAAGCAAACCTCAATGCTGCATGGTAGGCTGATAGCCAAATACAGCTCTTGGGAGGAGTTTTAGGGCCACTATTAATAAAAATTTAAATATAAAACCTCAAGAATAAAATCGCAACTTTCAATATTAAAGATTCAATTTGCCAGAATAAAGTCATAATAATTAGAGAATAAAGTGAAAATAAAGTAAAAGTTACGAGAAAAAAGGCATACCTTTTGAGAATAAAGTCGTAATTTGCTAAAATAAAGTCATAATAATTCGAGAATGAAGTCATAAAGTTGCGAGAAAAAAGTCAGGCGGGGCGTTTTTAATGACAGAATTGTGAACAAGTGCATGACAAAGGGAGAAGGAACTCTAAGAACTTACGGCTGGAGTTCAGGGCAGATTCTTCTGAGCACTGGAAAAACCTGACAGCTGACAACTATCAACGTGTATAAAATTGAGTACTTGCACACTCCATAGGACATGCCTGCCACCATGTTATTACTGCTGAAAGGATATTAGCTATAACACGTACGATTTGGCACAAATCACGAAATTGTTTGAAGCGCAAAAATAATCGGTGTGTCTGTGTACTGGACATCACAATTCTGTCATTAAAAACGCCCCAAAAGTTATTAAAGCCAGAAAACTGAATATCGAATATTGAGCGGTTTGAGACCCCCTCATTTTGTCACGCAAAGTCCTTACACGATTCTGAACCTTTTCGCATAGTTTTGAATGACTTTATTCTTGAAACATTGCAGGTTTTTTTCTCGCAACTTTATGACTTTATTCTCGAATTATTATGACTTTATTTTAGCAAATTACTACTTTATTCTTAAAAGGTATGACCTTTTTCTCGTAACTTTGACTTTATCGTCACTTCATTATGAATGTATTCTGGCAAATTACAACTTTAATCTTGAAAGTTCTTTATTCTCGAGGTTTTATATTTTTATTTTTATTAATAGTGGCCCTAAAACTCCGTTGTAGGAAAGTGACTGCAAAATTAAATGAATAGGTTCCAGTTAACTATAGTACGTCTGTCGAGGAAATGTTGAGTAAGTGAATTCCTGTGTACAGTGATTAACAGCCAAAAGCTGCCCTTTCTGAAATTTCCCAGTTCAAGTAAAACTCGTTTCTGTTTTCATTCAGTACAACTTCCGTACCTATTAAGCAGAAATATTTATATATAGTATACTATGAGAAAAATATTAACTTTCCTCAATTAAATGTGTGTGTATATAATCTCTCAGTTATATATTAAATAATGTATGAATGTAAAACATCTTATGTACATACATATAATCTAACAACGTATTGAAGTCAGCCAATTGAAATGAGCAACTTTAATCACTCTTTTATGGACATGTTTTATCGGCATGCGCTTTTATGACTTGGCGTATAAACCTTTGGACATTAGATTATATGGCCCGGGGAAACGCGTTAGTTTCATGTTAATGGAATAAAAGTTGTGAACAGAAGAATTCTGACGGATTTTACATTCGAAAACTTTAGAATGTATCTAAAATGCTCTAAAATTTTAAACATTCATATGAAATAAAATTACAAATCTTATAAATGATAACAAAAAGGTCGTTCTTACAGAAATCATAAGAGCATATTGTTGCTTACGAGATCAAAATATAATGAACTTATTTTTATAAATGAAAAGATTTGTATAGCCACAATAAATAACATTCAATAACATACTTGAATCACAGTGTTTCTAGAAACTGTACAGAATAATAAAAATATCACGGCAAGATTAACAAAAGTTTTAATGTTTAATTCCGTACCCTATAGACACCAATCTAAAACCACAAAATAGATTTGCTTACCATGTGAGGTATTCTTTCCAGTCAACATAAGAAGCATAAATACGGAAGCAATGAAAGACGTTTTGATCGAACAGAGAATCATATTTATAGAATTGTATTTGTTTTTAAAAAACTGATTTAGATATCTGCTTAATTAAAATAAAGACAAAAACATATTTAAAATATTTAACTTGAGGAAATCACGTCTACAAAGGTATAAACCGGATTTCAGAGAAGTGCGTACAGTAAGTGTTAATAAACGTGAGTTACAAAGCAAGAAAAAAGTCCTCCCTCCTGTCGTCAACTCAGATGAAATTTCAAAATAAAAGTCTGACAATTCTCCTCGTACTGTATATGACAGGTTTTGAAGTAGGCTATATTACTTCAAATATATGAAACGATAAAACCATGTAACGTTTTGAAAATAAAACACTCTTCTGGTTGAGATGACCCTACTGAAATGATAAACAATGAATATAAGTTAACTTAATGGAAAAAAATATATATATCTTGGGAAGGTGAGAATATACAACTCCAGTGATCAGGGATTTTAAGGATCAAATTCTGTTACTTAGTACTGTAGTTGTGGCTAGTGAACTTCTCTCACCACAAATATAAACTAATAATTATATAGTGTAATCAGACTGGGGTTAGGTGGTGCAGTGGTTATTATTAATACCTCACACATCTGGGACCTGAGTGTCCACCATATAGCTCGATGTGTGTGGAGGTGGCATGTTCTCCCTGTGTCATCCTGGGGTTTGCTCCAGGTATTCTGGTTTCCCCCCACAGTCCAAAAACATGCTGAGGCTAATTGGAGTTACCAAATTGCCTGTAGGTGTGTTGGTGCCCCATCTTGGGTTGTTTCCTGCTTTGTGTCCATAGGCTGTAGACTCCCTGCAACCCTGAATAGGTACTGAGATTGGATGGATGGACATTGACTTGACATATCCTTATAATAATGCATATATAGGAGAAACCAGCCATGATTAAATAAGGGTCATGAATATTGTTTTGAGATTTGGGGGGAGCTATGGTAACGCAGGCCTTTCTGAGGAGAGTGGGGGTCTGGTGGCCTCACACCTCCAGAGTCGGGAGTTTTAATTCCACCTCTGTTCTGTGTGTGTGGAATCTGCATGTTCTCCGCATGTCATTTGCATTTCCACTGAACCCTCCATGTAGTTTGGCTAGTTAGCGTATCTCAATTCCCCTTACTAATGTGAGCGTGTGTAAGACCGCTAACAGACTGGCATTCTGTGCCCTGGGATGAGCTGGCATCCCATCCAGGACGTGCACCCCCCCTCCCCATGCCCTGTGATGGACTGGCTGTTGTTAATGTATATTAATGCTGTTAAGGTATGTTACAATGTTAAGGCATACTTACTGTATATGCTGCTTTTGAATGTTTTATGAATGTTGTCTGTGAACCCCTCTGTCTTGTGTTCAAATCCCACTTCCTCTGTTTTTGTATTTTGTTCCTACAGTTTCTTTTATATCAGTTTAGTCCTGTGATTTTGTATTCAGTTTATGGTTTCTTGTTTTGAGCCTTAGTTTTGTTTGATCAGTTTTTATTTTCCACGTGTTTTTCTGTCAGTGTCTTAGTTGTCTCTTCCCAATCCCTTGATTTAATTATTAGTTCCATCTTTGGCCTGTTTTCCCAGTCTTTGTTAATTAGACTCACCTGCCCTGTGTTAGTCTGGTTACCCAGTTTAGTTTCAGTATTTAAGTCCCTTCCTCAGTTCAGTTCCCCAGTGGTTCGTTGATTATGATTGTTGATGTTAGATGTATGTCTGTCCTGCCTGTCTGCCTGCCTGCCTGCCTGCCTGCCTGCCTGCACCCATCTGTAATTAAAAGTGATTGTGGGAGGAATTTGATGAGGCTATGGAGATGGACTTTCAGTCGGCCTCAAAAAGGTTCTGGCAGGCCGTCAGGTGACTCAGGAGGGGGAAGCAGAGCTTCACCAATGCAATTTATAGCAGATGTGGAGAGCTGTTGACCTCAACGTGGGATATAGTCAGGCGGTGGAAGGAATATTTGAGGAACTTGGAGGAAGTAGATCTGAAAGACTTAGAGGAGAACTTGGCCATCTCTGGGGCTGAGACCGCTGAAGTAATGAAACAACTATTTGCTGGTAGGGCTCCGGGGCTGGATGAGATTCGCTCTGAGTTCTTGAAAGCTCTTTATGTTGTTCGTCTGTCTTGGCTGACACACCTTTTCAACATTGCATAGATGTTTGGGACAGTGCCTTTGGATTGACAAACTGGGGTGATGGTCCAAATCTTTAAGAGGAGGGACTGGAGGATGTGTTTCAACTTTAGGGAGATCACACTCCTCAGCCCCCCTGGGAATGTCAATGCCAAGGATTAGTTTGTTGATTAGTCGAACCTTGGATCCAGGAGGAAAAGTGCGGATTCCGTCCTGGTTGCAGAACACTGTTTACCCTCACCATCTCTTTACCCTCACAAAGATACTGGAGGGTTCATGGGAGTTTGCCCAAACAGTCCACATGTGTTTTGTGGACTTGGAAAAGGCATACAACCTTGTGCTTTGGGTGGTCCTCTAGGGGGTACTCCAGGTGTATGAGGTATGGGGTCTATTGTTGCAGGCCATCAGATCTCTGCATAAACAGAGTTTAGTTTGCATTGCCAGCAGTAAGTCAGGTTCATTCCCAGTGGGTGTTGTCAGGGTTGTTCTTTGTCATTGATTCTATTCACATCTCTTATGGATAGAATTTCTAGGCGTAGCCAAGGGGTGGAGGGGGTCCAGTTCAGGGGTCTCAGGATTGCGTCTTTGCTTTTTGCAGTGATGTTGTCTTGTTGGCATCATTGGGCTGTGACCTGCAGCCAGCACTGGGGCGGTTTGCTGCTGAGTGTGGAGCAGGACATCCAAGTTTGAGACCATGATTCTCAACTGGAAAAGGGTAGATTGCCCTCTCCTGGTGGGGGATGTGTTACTGCCTCGAGCAGAGGAATTCAAGTATCTTGGGGTCTTGTTCACAATTGAGGGGAAAAGGAAACAGAAGATCGACAGACGGATCAGTGCAGCGTTGGCAATAATATGGATGCTGTACTATTCTGTCTTGCTTAAGAGGGAGCTGACCCAGAAGGCAAAGCTCAATTTACCAGTCATTATACATTCCTACCCTCCCCTATGGTCATGAGCACTGGGTAGTGACCAAAAAAATGAGATTGCGGATACAAGTGGCCAAAATGAGCTTCCTCCGCAGGGTGACTGGGCTCAACCTTAGAGACGGGCTGAGGAGCTCAGCTCAGACATTTGGGAGGGGCTCAGAATAGAACTGCAACCCCTCCGCATCGAAATTCAGGTAGTTCGGGCATCTATTTAGGATGCCTCATGGACAGCTCCCTAGGGAGGTATTTCAGGCATGTCCAACCAGAAGGAGACCCCAGGGCAGACTCAGGACATGATGGAGAGATTATGTCTCTTGGCTGGCCTGCAAATGCCTTGGTATTCCCCCAGTGGAGCTGGAGGAGCTAGGTGGCTGGTGAGAGGGAGTTCTGGGCATCCCTGCTAAGACTGCTGCCCCTGTGACCCGACCCAGATAAGCAATGGAAGATGGATGGATAGATGGATGGATGGATGGATGGATGGGCTTTTTCTTTGCAATTCTGCTTTGAAGGCCAGCATCCTGGAGTTGCCTTTTCACTGTTGATGTTGAGACTGGTCTTTTGTCAATACTATTTAATGAAACTGCTAGTTGAAGACCTATGAGGCGTCTGTTTATCAAACTACACCTTCTAATATATTTATCCTTTGCACTGCTCTGTGAAGGGAGTAATACACAGTATTTTATGAGATTTTATGAGTCCGTTTCCTGACAGTTTCTCGCATGGAATAGCCTTCATTTCTCAGAACAAGAATAGACTGATGAGTTTCAGAGGCAAGTTCTTTGTTTCTGACCATTTTGAGCTTGTAATTGAACCCACAATTGCTGATACTCCAGCTATTCAACTAGTCCAAAGAAGTCCAGTTCTACTGCTTTTTTAATCCGCACAACAATTTCCATCCGTGCTAACATAATTGCAAAAGGGTTTTCTAATGATCGATTAACCTTTTAAAATGATAAACTTGCATTAGCAAACACAACATTCCAGTAGAACACAGGACTAAATGTTGCTGAGAAATGGGTCTCTGTACACCTATGTAGATATTCCATTAAAAAACTGCCTTTTCCAGCTATGATAGTGATTTACAATATTAACAATGTCTATACAGTATTTCTGATGAATCTGATGTTATTTTAATGGACAAAAAACTTGCTTTTTTTCAAAAGCAAGGAAATTTCTATGTGACCCCACATTTTTGAGCAGTAGTGTATGTATACTCAGTGACAAAAAAAGTTAAGCACCCAGAAGTAATGTTTTGATTTGAATGTAATATGGCACAGGTACAGACCAGCGATGGGCATGTAAATGATTTGATTTGCAAGGAGCTGGCAAGTCTAGTCGCCAGACACAGAGGATGCCTCGTAGGATTGTTGTATTGTGCGGCAAGTATTACAGAGCCTCCAGACATCTGCACCTGCCATCCGGACATCCTGCATCGTGTCTCGACCAAATACGGAATACGGGTTCACCATCCCATGCGTGGGCTGCCATTAATACCAGGTTTTTGAAGTGGCGCCCTAACCAGGAAGCATGGACTGATGACGACTAGTGGTACCATGTTCAGTGATGAATCTCGGTTCGGCATTACGTCGGACCGACGTGTGCACATATGGCAGGGCCAAGGGGAGAGGACCAATCCTGTCAATGTTGTGGAGAGACACACTTGTGTTACTCCCCGGCATCATAGTGTGGGGAGGTGCAGGGTATGACTTCAGGTAATCTCCGGTAGTGATGCGGGGAACCCTGACGGCACAGCGCTACATCAGTGACATCCTGCATCCGTATGTCTTATCCCTCCTGAGACAGCACCCTGGTACAGTCTTTCAACAAGACAACGCCCGTCCACTCACGGCATGTGTGTCTATGGACTGCCTGCGTCATGTTGAGGTCCTCCTGAGGCCAGCCAGGTCTTCTGATCTTTCGTACAAAATTTGGTTGACGAACAGAGTCCTCGACCAGACTCCTTTTTTTTTATACTAGTGTAGCACCGGCCTGGTGCATGTCCCAGCATGCTCTGCATGCAGTTGTAAATAGAATTACCACAACAGGCATCCAACGAGCACCAAACCCAAATAGATGGGAAAAACAAGGTTGTCAGATGTCGAACATGCACACACGGTAGAAGATTTACA